ACCGTGCGGGTGACATCCGCATCCACGGCAGCACTTTGTCACCCCACGGGTGGTCTGAGGTGGCTTCCAGTTGGGCAGCAAACTGCTGGTGCTGGGCACTGCTGGGGGGCTGCACCTGCACGCATGTGGCTATCGCGGGAGGCACGTGGCAGCCTTTAAACTCCACAAAACACAGGAAAACCAAGAAGAAACAAAAAATCCTTTCAAAGTAAGACAAGATGAAGCATGCTGCCTGGCTGGTGAGCTGGGAAGGGCGGCTGTGGCACTGGGTCACACCAGCAAGCGCTGCTCCGGGGTCTTCCCGTGCCCCAGCAAACCCCCTGTGGCTGCTGCTCACCCCCGCGATGCCTTGGGGGAACGGCGGGGTGTCACCTGCTGCTGGGTCACAGCAGAAGCCCCAGATTTTGGAGAGACAAGTATTTTTTCCAAGCCTGCAGCCTCAGTGGCTGCAGGTTAAAGTGTGAATGCAGAAAGGCAAAGTCAATATTGCTGTATTTGCTTGTTGGTCGCGTGATTGCGGAGGGTCAAACCCAGCAACTGGGCACCCGAGGGAGAAAAGGCACCCGTCCTGCATCCCTGGTTTTCAGCTGGGCACTTTACCTGGCCTGACCCAGCTCTGGGTGAGCTGCTCCGGCTCCTCCATCCCACTTTTGGGTGCTGCGAGGGGGTGAAGTTGGTCCCACGTTGCTGCAAGGCAGGTCGGGTTTACAGCAGGGACCGCAGCATCAGCGAGTGGCTGCCCCGATGCCAGCGGCTCGCTGTCCAGCGGAGCAAAACTGCCTGAAAAAGCCCTGCTGAATTAAAGGGCATGTTTCTGAATGTCTGTGAAGTCTCACAGACTCAGGCTGCTGTTCTGCTGGGGGCCAGGAAAGGGAATAAAAGCAAGGAGAGCCCAGCCCCCCCCCACACTGCTCTCAGGCAGCTTCATGGCATGGCCGGGAGCAAAGACCTTGGCAGTGCCTCAGTTGCTTGGGGTGCCTGGTGCTGTCGGGGCCTTTCTTGCCCCTTCGTGGCACTCAGCTGTATTCAGGAAATGTGTCTGACAACCAAGCACATTATTTTTCACAGAATCACAGAATGGTTGGGGTTGGAAGGGACCTCTGGGATCCCCCAGCCCAACCCCTTGCTGAAGCAGGGTCACCAGGAGCAGGCTGCTCAGGACCTTGTCCAGGCAGGGCTGGAATATCTCCAGAGAAGAAGACTCCACAGCCTCCCTGGGCAGCCTGTTCCAGGGCTCCGTCACCCTCAGAGGGAAGAAGTTATTTTTATACTCTTTCCATCCCCACTGCTGTTTCCAGCTGATTTCCCACCTCTCAGGTCATCACGCTGCCCACTGCGATGGGACAGCAAAGGGTTCATTGGACACCAGACGTGAGACAAGCAAAGGGGCTCTTTAAGCACCGTACCCCCCCACCCCGAGCATCCCCCCCTTTCCATCGGGCTCTCGATCGGAGGGGCCAGCACCCATCAGCCGTGGCAGCAGCCCCCAAGGGGATGGGGTCAGGTGTCCCCTCCTCTGCTCCCATGCCGCTGCCTCGTGCCGCTGGACGCGACAGCGCATTTCGACTGTTGATTAACCCACATATTTAGGCAAAAAATAGCCAGTCCTTGCCGCTCGCGCTCGGCCTTGCAGCAGCCCTCGTGCCACCCCACCGCCCTCGCGGGAGCTCGCCCAGCAGCCCCGGCATGAGAAATATTTATTTTCATTGCCTGCCTCTTGCTGCTCGGGGAGGTTTTTTTTTTCCTCCTCTAGCAGCTTCGCTTCCCCCTCACCCTTCGAAGGCCAATGTGGGCCCTTAAAAATAGAAACAAGCCGTGCAGCTCGACTACCTCGCATTAGCCCGACGCTGTTTTCAAATGCCGCTCGGTCAAGTTGAACCCGCAGACGGAGCAGGCGAGTGCTTTTAACAGCAGGCGTTTGCAGTGCCCACCTCGCGGGGGGTCAGAAAGGACCGCGACCTTGGCAGCTCTGCCTTTGCTGGATGGAGTTTGGGAAGAACCTGATCCCGGTTGTGGCCCCGATTTTGGGGGGGAAGCTGCAGTGCTGAGAAGCTGGGAGTAGATGAGAAAATCTGGGCTCCCCCCTCCCAACTCTGTCTACTTTTAGAAGTAAATAATGGCTCTGAGAAATGCCAAAACCCATGAGACCGTGCCGGAGGGCAAACCCAAGCAGTGGACAGGCTTTTAATGCAGCTGCAGAGGAGGAAGGAAAAGCTGCTGTGGGCAGTGCCAGCTTGGCCTGTGTCACGGAATCACAGAATGGTCGGGGTTGGAAGGGACCTTTGAGGATCCCCCAGCCCAACCCCCTGCCCAAGCAGGGTCACCCAGAGCAGGCTGCACAGCACCACGTC